GTAATTATTAGTAATTATTAATATAATTATTAGTAATACAGTACATTAGTAATGGAGATAGTGTGCTATAAGTATTTTCCCAACTTAATGTAGGCTTTTCTATTACTCCTGCTTTACAAATAGGATTGTTACTGTTGTGAATTTTATATACTGATGATTCTTAAGGAGGAAACAAGAAAACATATTTGTATTGCATATATGTCTGAATGACATTTCAGTAGTGCTTAGAATACATGTTGTCCTGAAATGCATTAAAAAAAAAAAAAGATTTTATCGCAGTATGGTTTCTGTATTTGTTGTGTTCCATGGTTTGGGGTGGGGTGGGTGGGCGGGTGCGCAGGGGAGGGAGTTTTGCGAGATACTCAGAGGAAACAAGAGCAAAGAAAGGTTAGATAGTATTTGAGGGGGGAAAAAAAATCTCAGGCTTGGAACCAGACAAATTGAGTTCAAATCCCGATTCTACCACCAGGTGTGGTTTTGGTACGTTCTAGAATTCTCTACATCTTACTTTCTTCGGGAGCCCTAGTGGTATTGGCTGCTAACATCAAAGTCAGCCGTTTGAAACCGCCAGCTGCTCGGCCAGAGAAAGATGAGGCTTTCTACACTCCTCAAGATGAATCGCCTCAGAGCCACAGAGGACAAGTCCTGCTCTGTCTTGAGTCGGAATTGACTCGATGGCAGTGGTTTGGGGTTTTGGCTTTATGCTAGAGGGTAATCACACCTATCCTTTGTGAGTGAAGAAGAAATGAAATAATGTACGTAAATTGTCATTTCTTTGAATCCTTTTCTGGGAGTCTATGGGATGGAATTAAAATATAGGAAGTGTTTGTATTATGTCTGACACTAAGTAACTGGTGAGCAAATGGTGTCTGTTACGATTACAGAGAACGTGGCAACTCAGAGTGGTCCCAGAAGGCACAGCTGCGGATTTCATAACGTTTCCTTACATTTCACTTCTCCAAGAAAAGATTGGAAGTGAGACTGGTTATCTAGAGGTTTTACCAGCATGAATCGTAAAACTTTTCTTTTTTAAGGGTCACTCAGGTTTTATCCAGTTTATCCACCCTGGGAGGGGTTGGGGGTAGGATTGGGGGAATGTTTCCATCTCTCTATTGTCTGTCAGGAAAAAGAAACACCTTTTTATTGTCAATAGAATAATCAGATTCATTGAAAATCTTTGTCATACACTTAGAACTTAAGTGCACATTTTAATTCATTTAATGTCTTTGCTATTTCTAAATGTAATTTTCATTTATGAAAATTAATCCTAGTTCCTGTTTTGAGGGTTAAAGTTTGACAGAAAATAGTTAGAATGCCCAGAAATGGTGATTCTTTGTGGGGAATTTTAGAATTCATTTATCTCATATCCTTGGAAAAAATGAAATGAGAAGTTAGTGGAATATTTCCATGTACTTTCTGAAGCTACCTCATATGCAGGGAGACTACACTTGAACACCAAAACAAACAAAAAATATTTTTATCATAGAATTTTTCAGGTATATACCAAACTCTAGAGTATTGTTTAATGAACTACTAGGACCTTTCACATAACAGTTATAACAGCATATTACCCCTATTGACCACTTTACCACACTGTATAATTCCATGTGTACATAAATCCTCACATTATGTCATTTTTTTTGCCAATTTCAATGTTTCTCTAATATATAGGAGAATTTCTCCTCTTAATCATTCCCCTAATAAAAAGCTAGCCTTATTCCTGTAATGTCATCAAATACTAGTTAATATTTATTCTTCCCATACTACTAATCTTTTTTAATTTTTTGATTTAGCAATTTAAATCAGAAACCATACAGGATCTGTGAGTTGTGTCATTGGAATCTGCCTTCTTAAATCTTTTAAATCTAAATGTCAAATTTCCTCATTTGTCCCTCTTTACGTCATTTGCTAGAGGGGGAGGAGATGAAAATTTTATCTTTTTAAAAATATTTTTATTAGGAGCTCTTAGATCTCATCACAATCCATACATTCCTCCAATGTGTCAAGCACATTTTTACATATGCCGCCATCCTCATTTTCAAAGCATTCTCTTAGCACTTGAGCCCCTTATATCAGCTCCCCATTTCTTCCCCTTCTCTCCCCCAACCTCCCTCCCTCACTAACCCTTGATAAGTTATAGAGTATTTTTTCCATTATTCGTCCCCTTGGGAAGGGGTTATATGTTGATCCTTGTGATCGATGCCCCACTTTCTCCCCCACCTTCCCCTAATCTTCCTGTCCTCTATTCCCATTGTTGGCCCTGAGGGGTTTATCTATCCTGGAATCCCTGTGTTGTGGGCTCTTACCTGTAGAAGTGTACATGTTCTGGTCTAATCTGATTTGTAAGATACAATTGAGGTCATGATAGTGGGATGAAGGAAGCACCAAAGAACTAGAGGAAAGTTGTGTGTTTCATCTGTGCTACGTTGCACCCTGACTGGCTCATGTCTTCCCTGTGAAAGTTATCTTTTTACAGCGGGGTTTTAAAATATTTTTTTAAAATAACAATGATAAACTTATTCCAGGGGAGCATATATAAAAGCCTGTCTGAGATAAAAACCATAGGTTCAAAGCAACAGAAAAGGTGGTTGAGTTCTCAATATGGAACCCATTGCAGTGTGTTTTGATTGAAGTATACAAAGAAAATCTGGTTTTAAGCAGGTATGGGTTTGAAAGAAGGAGCCAAGTGGAGGACATGTCTCTGATTGTGCTGTGCTGCTGAAACCCTATCGATGAACGTTTCACGCAAGGTTACATTAAACTCCATTGGTCTCTTCCACTTTGAATGGATCCTTTACATATACTTAATTTCATACCATTGTACATTGGTCATTTGCAAAGATAATTTATGGTTCACTGTGTTGTAGGGATCTTCCAAATGTTGACATATTTCATTTTTCAGCACTTTAAAAAAACCACATTCATTAGAATCGTCACCCATCTCCTTAGAAAAATCTTTAGCTATTGGTAAGCTGTCAAGTTCTTGTAAGTAGCGTTTCAAACTTATGATTTTTCTCTCAAAAGATCAAATTTTCTCATTAGCAACAAATGTCATCAGCCTCACTTTATCTGTTTTGACAAAATGTTTGCCAAATCTGCATAACCACAATTTAGCCCATAAGTAGTTGGGGAGGGGGGAGGGGGGAAGCATTGTGCCCACTTCTCATCTCAAACCAATCACAAGTGCCTTCCTCGGATGTGGTACTCAAAGAATTGTACAGAATATCCTACATTCACGAAATAGGATTTAGTGAATTTGTTTACTCTAAGTGAAACAATACAATGACTAACTACAAAAGTGTGCTGCTGCTGCTGCTGCTGCTGCTGCTGCTGCTGCTGCTGCTGCTGCTGCTCTAGCACTTGTACCCTCTTGTGACTTCAGTGCAGGTGCCCCACAGTGCAGAGGACACATGGGCACATGGGGTGTTAGCATTTTTATGAAAAGAGCTTTGTCTCAGGACATTCAAGGGTCTTTGCTCAAAACTTTCAGAAATGCTGCTTTGGACCTTGTTGATCATCTCCGTTTTGTACCTTGTATCTTTAAAGTATGCTCTTGCATGCACCTTTATCTCTGGTATTTCTTGTGAATAGGCGTCTGTGTTTCTTTCCTGGCAACCTTACTTCTTAGATGGTGTTCCTGTGTTTGTTTTCTTCGTCTTAGCCATTGATAACCATTGCCTAGAGCCACTCTTTTACTAACGGTTACAAATGGCAACACTCTAGTTCTTCATGTATTTGCTGGTATTCTGTCTGAAGAGAAACTTCCTCTTGTCAACAATTTGGTTACCCTGAGATACAGTTTTTATGGCAAAAATTGTGAGCTTGTGCCCTTAAATCCTCAAGAGTGATCAGTGGTCAGTGACTGTTCCAGGTTTGTCGGAGTGTCCTTGTGCTGCGGGATTTAAATGGAATCCGACATCTTCCGTTCACTGCAAAGGTTGGCATTGCTTTGGCCAGCAGAAGCCTCTTCACCTGGGCTCTTCCCGAATTCTGTGATATTGACCCCTGTTGTCTCTGAAAGCTTCCTTGCTTTTTGGTTTGACAAGGTGGAGCAGGATCATCTTGCACATTTCCTGTAACTGACCAGAATCTGCTCTTTCTCTGAGGAGACCTGGTTCCCTTGACTGTGTTCTGGACATTAAGCTGCTCATTGCTATTGATTGGTTATTGTTTCTAGACTTTCTCAGTGGGAAATAGGTGATTTTAAAAAGACGTATCATTACGTGATGCTGATACTTCCATTCAAATTTGGGACCCATGGCTCTTTTGTTGATGGCAGCAGTGTAACTGCTTGGTCCTACACTACACATCCAACAAGGCACCTGGTGGTGGAACCCTGTGAGCCTCCAGGCAGTAGCCAAAAGGCCAGAGGTGAAAACTCACCCACGGGCTCTTGGAAAAAGATCCTGGTGACCTGTTCACTTGCAGACTGTTGTCATTGTTAGGTACCTTTGTGTTGCTTTGACTCGTAGTGATCCAGTGTGACAGAGTAGAACTGCCCCACTGGGCCCCGGGCTTACATTTAATTGGAAAATTTAGTGTAGCTGATAGCACAAAGTGGACTATATTTTTGGGTTTTTGTACAAATTACCTCTTCTCTATTCCATTGCCAACATTGTATATTAATTCTCTACCTTATCTGTATACCACTGCTCCTTTTCAGTGTCTTAGGAAAAAACTACAGAAAGGGCAAAGCATAATTTCTTTTTGTTTAATGCGAAGAATATGGTGTCAACAGTTGAATTCCCTTTCTTTTAAAAGCGTAGCAGAATTTTAACTTGACTCTTCAAAATTGTAATAAAATATTTCTTCTTGTATAAATTATCATGAATTGCACTATTAAAAAAATGTCAGTCATAATTTTGAAGCAGTCATTTTTCAGACCTGTGGATATGGGGGAAGGTTTTGAATAAAAATATATAATTAAGGGAAACTTAAGTGAGAACTAATTTATATTTGGAAAATTAGGAATATGATTTACTTGTATTTTCCCCTTCCAGTTAAAAAGAAAACATGACTGAATCTGCTTCTAGCGCAAGTGGTCAAGAGTTTGATGTATTTAGTGTTATGGACTGGAAAGATGGAGTGGGCACATTACCAGGAAGTGATTTAAAGGTAAGCTTATTGTATGCATTTATATGTGTGCCTGCATCTACATGTGTGTTTAATTTAAAACGAGATTTGAAGATATATATGAATTAAGAATTGAAAACATTATGCATATAGTGTTTTAGGCTTTATATGATGTTTAGACTTTTAGAAAGCCTCAAGACAATTTTGAAGTGCTGACAGATTAGCAGTAACTGTAGTCACTTGGGATAGAGAATTGAAGATCTCTGTAACGTATGCATGGTTTGTAAAAATGGTTTATAGTTTCAAGGGGAATGGTCTATGTTTTGACTATTATCATGTGGCCAATGAATGTAAATGGTAGGCTTAAGTTTTGCAGTAAAATGGGCTTTGTGACTATCCGCATTTCCTATGTCCTACTTTCTCATTTAAAAAATGGATAGTGTTACACAATATGGAATAAACAGGACTGTGAGTCTCTCTTAAATTATTTCTATTGTAAATGTAGAATTTGGTCTATCAGTTATTCAAAAGCAGTCCCCTCCTGGGAATCAGACTATTTTGTTAAAATGAGAGCTCTCTCCAGATAATTGTGGCCACAGTCTGCTGCCTTGTCTGAGGTAGGCCTGCCTCTTTCCCCAGCAATTCCTGCACCCACTCCAGGACCACAAGGGCAGCCCTGGGAAATGTGGTTCTGCAAGCACCCATCTGGGAAGTCAGCTGCCCTCCCACCTCCCCGTTTATTCTAATTTGCTTTTTCTCTGATCCTGGCTTTGGAACCTTGAACTTGTCTGTGGCCCTTTAGACTTGGTGTTTGCACTTGGTTGTTTTTCAGGTAGTTGAACTTCCAATCTTGTTGCAGGCGCTGTGCCTTGGCTTGTCTAGTTAATGCATGTTGTTCAGGTATGACTAGAGTCGAAATTCCTGTCCTCATAACTGAAATCGTGGAACTCAGTCCCTTATAGCTACTGCTTGACCACTTCCTACCTTATGTCTCCCAATAGTAAGATTTGGACTGTAGTTGAAAAAATACTGACATTTTAGTTGGCTAAAGTATAACTTAACTTGTCGGCATGCAAGTGCCAATGTAGCCAGCCAGCTTACTGCAAGGAGGTTCAGTGAAGTATGGCCAGGATGTGATTTTCAGTCTTAGTTCTGTGTAACCTTAAGCATGTCATTTAATTTTAGAGGGATTAAGTTCCCTCTTCTTTTTTTTAAATGAGGAAATAAATGAATATTAAGTTGTTGTTTTTTTTACTTGACCTAACCTTTCAAAATGTCCATGTGGATTAGGTATAATAAAGACAGAGTCCTGAAGCATGTAGATTTTTTTTTTTTTGCTGTCTGTTTCTCAGACTCATAATACCAGCTACAAAATAGCTTTTTCAAGTTACTTACTGTATATACTCATGTATAAGCCGTTTTTTCAGCACATTTTTAATGCTGCTTTTGTGGTAAAAATTAGGTGCCCCAGCTGATAATCGGGTCGGCTTATACTCCAGTATGTATGGTACGTCCTCTAAGTATAGTAATCGTCTGTTAAATGGGGCTGTCTAAATCTGTAATATAAGGTGGAAACTCTCACTTTTCTATATACTATGTAAAAGCCTTTTTTATTGTTTCTACTCCTTGATTTTTCTTATGTATTTTTACCTTTTATTAGTGCCAGGTGGATGATGAAATCATTTTTATTCAGTCAACTTCAGGAAGTGGAGTGAACATTCTATCCCTAAGAAATTTGAAGTAGCTTAAAATATTCTCAGCCATAGATTTTAGGGATTAGTTTATTACTTTTATTAAGATAATCAGGTAATTATGCCATTTAGTGGGTGTTATAATCTGAGCTGTATGATATTACTTGTACACTCATCTAATTACCTGCATAATTATTGCCAGATTTCCAATTTACTTTGTGTGCTATAGACAGTTTTATTTTAAAAATTATTTTCTACTTTATAACTCTTTTATCTGAGAAGATTCAGAGACTAGCCAGTTAATTATAATGGGCTGGATTTTAAATTCACTTGTCCTTTATATTAAAGTCTGAGTTGCTTAAGAGATCTGATCAGGAGATTAATCTTCCACAAAAGTAAGGCATGAACTTGGAGTGAATTAAGAAATTTACTCAGACGTGATGCTTTTGCATGATTGAGGTCTCTATATGTGAGAGGTGGGGATACGTGGACTTCCTAACAGACAGACAGACAAACTGTATTGACTGTAAGACAGATGAAGTGAAATGAAGTGGTCAGATAGCCCAAAGAAGTTCATTTCTGCTCATGGAGACAGGACTTTCCTGCTTCCATTAGCATTGCTGCTTTGAGAGGTTTCCGTTGTCAGACTTCTTGATTGCCAGCCCATTGATGGCCTTACTCGTCTGTGTCGCTTCTGGCAGGTGTTTTCAATCTTTCATGGAGGACTCGAAACACCTTGTTTTTCACAAAAGGTATTGAGTCACCTGGAACCCCCTTGCTCCTTTGCTGTATCTCACACTCAGTCCTAGTGTCCCCTGCTGTCCACCCAGCCTGGACTGTTACTTTCAGACTTCACACCCCAAGCCCTTTCTACAGTGGCGACTGGAACCCTCTTTCCTATCTTCACTTGAGGGAGCCAGCTCACATAAAGTGCAGCTCCAAGATTTCCATGTTTGGGTGTGTTGATAGGAAGAATTTTCATATTATTATATGAAAATAATTTATAATTTATCAAGGAGTCACAAGGGTTGGAGCGTGGGGGAGGGAGGGAAAAAGAGGAGCTGATACCAAGGGCTCAATTAGAAAGAAAATATTTTGAAAATGATGATGGCAACATATGTACAAATGTGTTTGATACGATTTATATGAACATTGTTAAGAGAGGTAAGAGCCCCCGATAAAATGATTTATTGAAAAAAATTATCCAGTTAAAAAAAAAAGAATACTTTGGAGGTTTTAAAAAGTTATTTCCTCCAGTTTTATAGACGAGGAAACGAAGGCCCAGAAGAGTTAAGTCATTTGTTCAGGGTCAAAGAGGTGGCTTCTGGTTGAACCCAAACCAGACTTTTCTGATCTTAAAAATGGCGTTCGCGCTCTCCCCTGTAAGAAAAAAAAAATGGCTTCTCTTACCACTCCTATGCTGTAGGCCTAAAGTGAGACAATGTTTTCATATCAAAAGATATGAAAACAGGGAAAATGTCTAGAGATTCCTCGTTCTCTGTTACCATATCGTCTCCAACTCTTAGTGACCCTGTAGGACAGATAGACCTCCCCTGTGGGTTTCCGAGACCGCAACTCTTTATGGGAGTAGAAGCTTGTCTTTCTCCCAAGGAGCAGCTGGTAGTTTCAGACTGCCTCCTCGAGGTTAACAGCACAACGTGGAACCCACTGTGCTGCCAGGACTGCTGTTCTAAGAATTTGTAGACCTTTTTGGGGGCTAAGAACAAGGAAGGAGAAAAAGTACTTGTATCAGGGAGACTAGCAAACCACTGCCATCATTTTCGACTCATAGCAACCCTTATCGGACATAATGGAACTAACTGTTCCATTGGGTTCCCGAGGCTGTAAGTCTTTATTGAATCAAACTGCCTTATCTTTCTTCCCACTGGCCTGGTGCTTAGCAAGCCAGCAATTAACCCACTGTGGCACCACGGCTCCTAATAATAGGGACTAGCACATGAAAATAAAGAATATTAAGGGAGAAGAGCAGTTCTCTCTAGGCATTCTTGAAAATACCGGGATCATTAACAAGGTGGGTTTTTTTTTTTTTCTTTCTTTCTTTTTTTCGTAAGCTAGGTGCAGAACTTTGTTGTTGGGTGTGATTGACGGAGTCTGACTGATAGCCCAATGTACAGCAGCGTGCAAGGGGCCCTGCACCTTCTTCAGCTTGTTCTTCTATTTGAGTTAGTGCAGCAACCGGGCCACTCTCTCTTGTCAGGGCCGTCTTCTATTTCACTACCCTTCTGCTTACCAAGCATGATGTCCTCTTCCAGGGACTGATCTCTCCTGACAACGTGTCCAAAGTCCATGAGGTTTGGAACGTTACCATTGCCTAATTCTTCCCATCAAGCGCAAAGTAGGGTGCCCAGATGAGTCTCAGGACTACCCATAGGGATAGAGAGGCAAATAATGAAGTGGTGATGGGAAGGGGTGGACCTGGAATTCTAATGGAGACTTACCACAGAAGTTATGAGTTTGTATACTAAGGATTTAGTCTTTGGGAGTTTCTCGGTTAAGAGGCAGAGTTCCTCCGGGTCCATGAATATGCCAGATTTGCTTAATACATCCAAATGGTGATGCTCATAATTTTTATTTTCTTGGTTGTAGAACCGAGCCACTCTGTAAGTTTCTAGAGTGTTTTTTAGCATTCTGTTGAGACTAGTGGTTACATGTTGGGCAGCAATCTGCGTGGTTGGCAGTTCAAAAACACCTGCAGCTCATCGGGAGGAAGACGAGGCTTTCTGCTCCTGTACATGGTTACAGTCTCAGAAACCCACAGGGGCCGCAGTGAATCACCAGTGAGTGAGTAATGAAAAGAACAAAGAACACTCTGTGCAAAAAGAAATGAATTATGTCAAGTTTCCATGCTTCCAAAGCCATTTATAAGAGCATCACTAATTCAGAATCTGAGTTACCAACGAAGAGGGAAAATGAATTGTTCTTTCAGGAATTATCTTTGTGGAACTTCAGAAGAGATGTACAATATTTAATATCCTATCTTGTCTAATTTTCTCAATAGCAATAATGTTGCACAAAACACAATAGACCTGTTTGAGAAACCAGGTTTGGTTTTTAGATCCCTATACTTTTACCCAAATGATAAACTACTTTGAAATTGCTTTTGGTTTTTAATTTTCAAGATAATAAGATCTTTGGTTAGGGCAGGGGGCCTTTGCTTTTTTAGGGGTTTAGAATGTGTTTGAGAATATGATAAGACCCAAGAAATCTTTCCCTGGAGGTTGAAATTATAAATACCTATATGACAATGCCTTTATACTGAGACTTTAGGCAGTTGTTAATTAATCATAGAAAAAGGGAATGGTCAGTGGGATTAAGTGTTGTATTATTGGAATAACCCTTTACTTTGTTGAATGTATTGAAGTCTAAAGTTTCCAGATGTTATAGGCCTGAATTTTTGTGTAAAGTTCCCTTTCATTGGCATTCTGTGTGTCCCTGTTGGGAATGCAGGGTAGTTTGTAGTTCAGCAGTAATCTGGAGACTTGAGCTTAATCAAGGAGACTTGATGCTTAATCAAGGAGACTTGACGCTTAAGTGGAAGTGTTTGGTCCTCTTTCTCACAGTTTGTATTTATGAAACCAACTTAATTAAGGAACATAAACACCATGCAATAAAACTTTCTTTTAAAAACATCTGAAATGTTTAAGAAACATCTGAATGATTAAGCCTGTGCCTAGTCTTGTTTTCATTCTATTTGAAAATGATTTCCTTTAATAAAAAGTAATTGTGATAGCTTGTTTTTGCTACTCTTGCCCAGTAGATGGTACTGTCAGCCTTATTTTGAAACATTCTGCTTTCACACTTGATCATTTTAATTCTGTTCTTCATTTAAGTTTTATTTTTTCAAAGAAGTTAAGCTTTGTTAGCCTAATTACTTTCAGCCAACTTTTTGCCCCCTCCTAGTCTTAACATTCTGGTTTATACACTAGGTATACTTACTCCCATGTTGCCTGGGAACACCGTGAAATATGATATAATTGGGAGAAAACATTCATAACTATTTCAGCTCATTCTGCTTGGAAAGCAAATGCTTCATTGTAGTTGTGGAGTATGTAGAGAACATTGTGTAAGGTACTATTTGTGGTTAGTGGAAAGAAATATTTGATTGCTGCTACTTTTTGTTGAAAATGCTTGTTTTTGATTTTTTAAACTTGTAGTCTGTGTTGCTTGATAAAATAACTCTATTGGCAAGTAGACGAACAGATTACGTAGATTGGGAGATAAAGGGCTTTTATGTCAGTAATCTATTTGCATGCTCATGCATATATTTGTGAAAATTATAAAAACTAAGCTTTATCATCTTTCTGAAGAGCATCTTTCTTGTTCTTCATCACCTATTCAGATTAAAACAAAACAAAACAAAAACCCTAGGAAACTAAACTGACAGGCATGAAGTCGATTCCGACTCACCGATTGGCAGTTGTTGTCAGGTGCTGCTGAGTCAGTTCTGCCCCGTAGTCCTCCATGCACAGCAAGGGAAACCCTTGCTCAGTCCTGCGCCATGTTCACAGTTTCCTGTGTCTGAACCCTATAGTTACACCCACTGGAGATCATAGGTTAGTAGCTCTCAAATGTCATTCTGTTTTTATAGAAAAGCAAAAAGAATACAAAGCACTATTTGGGGGACAAATTCCTGTGTATACAGACTAAACCTTTTAGTACATGCACCATGGAAGAAGGTTACTTCAAAACACACACACACACACACACACACACACACACACACGCATGCACAGTAGAAGATTGTGACTGAAACACTTTGTAGCTTGCCTAGGATGACAGGAAATTTCGATATTTAGGACTTAAATGGCCAGAAGATCAAAATGTTCTTATTATGGTCAATTATGTCTATGTCAATAATTAGTAGACTTGGTCAGATATCAGATATATCCAGTTGTTTGGGTAGAAGCTTGGAGTTGAATGTAATGGAGCCTTATAAAGAGTAATGAGAGAAAGGGGCTATGTGAAACTGGACGTGTGAAATGGCTCATGCGGTAACCTTTCTAGCCGTCACCATTTGTGTCCTACAGCATAAGGAGATGTCCCTACAGGTCATTGCTGGTAGATGTCACTGAGTCTATTTTGACCTATAGTGACACATGACACACAACAGAGCTGCCCCCTGGGGTTTCCTAGACTCATTTGTATAGGATGAGATCCCCAGGGCTTGCTCCCATGGTTGTGGGGTAAGTGTGAACCACCAATCTTTTGTTATTTCTGTGTATTTCTTTTTCAGAATTAGATGCACTTGGGTTACACAAATATATTCTTGGAAAAACTTTTACTAACCTTTATTATTAATTAAGCAATAAAATGAAATTCTTTAGGATCAGATTTTTACAAGAAGAAGCATTTGGAAGCACAGGCAGCCCTATAGGACAGCACCCGGTGGTTTTATCTTTGTAGGCAGTTCCCCTTCCCTGAATCCCAAAATTAGTAAAATACAAGGGCTTAATATTAGAAGAAGGGGTACTTAGATAGGCTTGTAAATGAACTTTTGACACATATTTTGCTTAGCGCTGACAGTGTCAGCCACTGGAGGATTACAGTCCTGAGCACTTTTGTGTGTTTAAGTATGGTCCCTCTCTGCTGTGTTGACACTAGTTTCGAGTAAATGAGTTTGGAGCCCTGGAGGTGATCACTGATGAGACTGAGATGGAAAATGTGAAAAAGGCAACTGCCACCACCACTTGGATGGTGCCAACTGCTCAAGAAGGTAAGAAGGGACTGCTTGCATTTTCATTTATCTTGAAAGTTTTAAAATAAGAGCATCTTAAGAATTTTGTGCTGGGACGGGACTTTGAAAATCCTGGGTGATTTTCATGTCACGTGTTCTTAATGTAAATTTCTATGAAAAGCTGACATGGAGCCAGGTTTTGTATTTTAAAATAGCTATTAGCGGTCTTCTTTCCTAATGCCAGATCTGTAATAGCCCAAGCTTAATTGGAAATTATCCAGTCAATCCATGTTGTAATAGCCTACCCAGGTGATTTAGCCAAATGTCTGCCACTTTTTTTTCTCATCTATTCCAATGGTTGTAACTAACACCTATATGCTGATGACTCCTACATCTATATCTCCAGCCCCGACCTCTCCCCCGAGCTCCAGGCCCGTATTTCCACCTGCCTACTGGACATCTCCACCTGGATGTCCCACAGGTACCTCAAACTCCACATGTCTGAAATGTAACTCATTTTCTCTTTCTCCTTCCCCTAAAGCTGCTCCTTCGTCTGTATCCCATCTTTCAGTTGACAGTAGCATCATTCACCCAGTGTACAAGCGAGAAATCTAGGGTCATCCTGAGTCTGTCCCCCACGCTCCCCACCCCATGTCCTCTGACTCACTCCTGGTGGTTTGTTTCCTATCTCTTTCTCAGATCTCGTGGTTTGTTTCCTATCTCTTTTTCTGTCTATGATCACTGTCACCTTCTTAATGCAAGACACATGAACTATGCCAGAAGTCTCTGAAGTAGTCACTCTGCTTCTAATATCACCCCCTTCCAATTTTTTGTGTACACCAAAATCAGAAGAACTATGTCAATAGCTTGTGTGATACCTCAGACATTTCTTCTTGTTTTCTTAGCAAAACATACAAAGACCTGGGTGACGTGCACCCTCTGCTTTCTGTGTCACCCCACTCTATTCTGTTCTTTGTGAATTGTTCTGGCAGTGCCAGCAGCACTGAATTACACGTAATTCTACCAACTCATCATATGGCTTCATGCTTCTTTGCCTTTGCTTCTGTTGTTTCTTCTGGTCCGAATGTCATTTCTCTTTTTGTCCAGTTGGTCAATTTCTATTTGGCCTTCAAATCCCTGTTGAGGCTTTATTTTCAAATATCCTACCCTGACCTCACCCCAGGCTGAATGAATCACTTCTTTCTCTGTACTACTTCTGGAACTTATTCATGCTTCTATTATTGCATGTATTGCATTTTATTATAAATATTGGTCTTTTTGTCTGTACTCTAGACTGTGAGCTCTCTTGGGCAAGGTCTCTACTTTCATTATCAGTGTCTAGAGTAAATTGGTGCCTAATGAATGTTTGCTGAATGAATGATTAGTCTAATGGTTCAGGCAAAAGGAAATGTGAGTTCCTAAATGATTGGGATAATTATGATTCAAGAGATTTGCTAGTAGGCATTAAAAGTCAATTAAAGAGATGTTGACTTAACCAATTGAATAAACAAAATCACTCATCAAAAAAGTATAAAGATGAAGCAACATAGATGACCCCTTTTAAATTTGTGAAAAATAGGCTCTGAGAAAGAGTTGATAGTTGCATCTTCTGATTTTAGTGCTTAATAAAGTTTTCTTCATTTTGCTTTGGCCTTGGTATAAAAACTTATGGACAAGCTTCCATTTATTTTCTGATTATTTACATCAGAGGTCCTCATACTTTTTAAACTGGGGGCCAGTTCACTGTCCCTCAGACCGCTGGAGGGCCTGACTATAGTTTAAAAAAAAAACTATGAACAAATTCCTATGCACACTGCACATATCTTATTTTGAAATGAAAAAACAAAGCGGGGCAAAAACACCCAGTGGGTCGGATAAATGTCCTCGGCGGGCCGAATGTGGCCTGCAGGCCGTAGAGTTTGAGGACTCCTGATTTACATATATACATATATATGAGTCCTGCTCAGCCTACCCCACCCCCACCATGAAATGCTACCATTTAACCGTGTATTCATTCAACAAACATTCTTTTGTTTTGTATTGCTGTTACAATTATTAGAGTAAATGCAAATTGATTTGGGAAGTCTGATGTCATGGTGTTAATGTGGTGCTGGTCTTCTTTCCATCTTCTAGTCTTTTCGGAGAAGACTGGGATGCCTTTCAGGTTGAAGGATCCCATGAAAGTGGATGGGCTTCAATTCTGTGAGAACTGTTGTCAGTATGGCAATGTAGATGAGTGTCTTTCTGGAGGAAACTATTGCAGCCAGAATTGTGCTCGACATATCAAAGACAAGTATGTTTTTACTCCATTTTTTTCTACACAATGAGTTTTAGAGTCTAAAATCAATGTGCTGGGAATACTGAGATTTTATACTTTCTGATGCCTGCCATGCATTTGTTCCTTATTTCAGGAAGGTTCTCTTTACATGCATGTAGATCTTCCATGTATTGCACTTGGTGGCTTCTCTCATAGCTGTTCTTATTTTCATTGCAATGTCCTACCTCCATACACCCTCACACTTCAGAATTCAGCCGTTGGTTAGTTTAATTTAATTGGTTTTCAGCTATGATTATTTTAATTTTTCTAGATTATACATTGGAATAATATTGACATTTATGGAAATGTAGTTTGTTTATATTGTGACTGTTCCTAGGTAAGTAAGTCCAGGAAAACTCTGCCTTTGGAACAAAGCTTCCACTGAATGGGAGGCAGTTGAAAGGAAATGTCCGGGGAGGGTGGATAGTGTGGCAGTGTCAGTACTGCTGCTGGCGGCGCAGATTGAACATTACAAGATAAGCGCTTATCCGATGATAGGATGTCCTGTGATTGACAGTGCTGTTTCAGGGTATCAGGCAGAATTCAGCTCATCATCAAGAAAGTGTATTTCTTGCATATAATTGTACACTACAAATATAATTTGTATTTGATATTAATGCTTGAATAGAATTTTAATCAGAGCAAGCTTGGGAGTTCTCTTGTTTTTATTGACCAAGTGATGTTTTACAAAGCCACACTTGCCCTCTTTTAGTTGAACTTGGCCTTCTTAATATTTGCTAGACCCTTGCTTTAAAACTGTCTTGGAGAGATGCAGATATCGCTAAATAATTACTTTATTATGGAAGACAGGAAAAAATAGTACAGAACTTGTGAGAACCTGTTTCATACATACTGCTAGTCCATTCTAAGATTCATATAAGGGAGTTTTCACGTTATATCTTGATAGCTGTCATATGTAAGAAGCCTTCTAAAGTATTCCTTAACTATGATATTCTAAAGCGAAGTGTATCTCCTTGTGGTTAAATATTTTTCCTTTGAGGGGGAACTAAAAACAAATTTTTGTATTGATAATCAACATGTAGCTGTCTGATAGGTATTGCTTCCTGTCACTATTTTGGGTTTATAAACACAACAGAGAACAGAAAGAAGAAAGGGACATTGGAGAAGACAATGAAGAAGAAGATCCCAAGTGTAGTCGGAAGAAAAAACCAAAATTGTCGCTGAAAGCTGATCCAAAGGAGGATGGAGAAGAGAGAGACGACGAACTGGTCAGTGTCTGCAGAGCCACCACTGGGCTTCGGAAGCGGGTCGCGTTGGAGCCAGCGCACAGGGTCTGGAGCCGGTGACTTGAGCAGCAGCATGCCAGTCTTCTGTTTTGCAGATGAATCTTAAGTTCCTCTACATGCACATTGGAACAAATAGTATACTTATAGTATTAATTAGTGGTTCTAAATGAAAAGACCATTTTGACATCATGAGGTATTTCTCTTTAGATCAGCATTCTGCAGCTACTATTTGGAGTTACTATTCTAGCAGCTGAGGATACTACCACAGCAGGGGTGAGTTATACAGACAGAGAGGACAAAGCCTCTTTAGGGTATGTTACACTCTTGTTGGGCAGACAGCGCAGAAAGAAACAAAAGGAAGAACAGTTGTAAATGAGGTGCTGAGAATTAAGATGGTATGTTAAGATTGGACTTAAAACTAAGTTGGGTTATCAAGGAAGGTTTCCCAAAGTAGGTGACATGAACAATGTGATCTGATTAAGGAGAAGGGCCCAGTCATGTAAAGTTAAGAATGAGGAGCACTTGCTCGGGCTATAGGAATCAACTAGGAATATTTTTTTTTTTACATCTAAGATCAGGTGTAGCTTATTCTGATTGAGGAATTCAAGAAAGACAATATAGTTGAGCATTAAGGTTAGGGTAAGAGTGGGCAAGGAAGGGTGGTGCCAAAAATCCAGGCAACAAGTGATCTAAGATTGATGGCAAGAAAGGCATAGGATGCCTGGTAAGGCTTGATTAAGGGCAATGTAGCTGAGGGGAATTACCAAAACCCAAATGAAAGGTGAATATGATAGTGGGACAAGAGAAAAGTAAAAGGAAATAGAGGAAAGAACTAAGAGGTAAAGGACATTTATAGAGGTCTAATTACAGGCATGTACATATGTAAATATATTTTTATATAACAATAAGGAAATAGAGCTATGGGCATATATTTATTAAGTATTAAGGCAGCACACAGACATTGAGCCTCTACTCAAGTACTCCCTCAATGTAAGAACACTTTGTTCTAATAACCCAGAATTTTATGATGGTCACCTTCGCTGACACAATCGCTGGAAACAATCAAAAGATACAGTGTCTGAAACCCCCTTAGATTGGAGCTCTTAGAGACAGGGCAACCCAACTACTCCCTTTCCAGGTCTAGCGCAGTACCTCGCATCAAGTAGTTCAATAAATATCTGTTCTGGAAAAAAAAAAAAAAAAGATATAGTGTCTGGGGTCTTAAAGGTGTGAAGATAAACAAGCGGTCATCTAGCTGAGAAGCAACCGAGACCACCTGTGTGATCATGAGGTGTCCATGGGATCAGTTATCATGCATCAAAAACCCAAAGCAAAAAATCATATCAGTGTGAATGAGGGGGAGGGTGGAGTGGAAACCCAATACCCATCTGTAGACATTTGGACATCCCCTTATGGAAGGGTCACAAGGAAGAGACAAGCCAGTCAGGGTGCAGTATAGTACTGACAAAATACACAATTTTCCTCTAGTTCTTTAATTCCCCACCCCCTATCACGACCCCAATTCTACCTTAAAAATTGGGCTAGACCAGAGCATGTAAACTGGTACAGATAATAGCTCGTAACACAGGGAATCCAGGACAGATAAACCCCTCAGGAACAGTAATGAGAGTAGTGATACCAGGAGGGTAAGGGGAAAGTGGGAATCTATCACAATGATCTACATATAACCCCCTCCCAGGGGGACGAACAACAGAAAAGTAGGTGAAGGGAGAAAGCAGTTGGTGTAAGACAAAAAAATAATAACATAAATTATCAAGAGATCATGAGGGAGGAGAGTGGGGGAGGGAGGGAAATGAACTGATACCAAGGGCTCAAGTAGAAAGAAAATGTTTTAAAAATGATGGCAACATATGTACAAATGTGCTTGACACAGTTGATGTATCTATGGATTGTGCTAAGAGCTGTACGAGCCCCCAGTAAAATGATTTTTTTTAAAGGGTAAGAATGGAGTAAGATGAGGTCATGTGAGGCCTGAGAATCAGAGATTTTATCTTGTGAAGGAAGCGAGTGGAAAGTTGAAGGCAAAAATGCTTTGATTCAGGTTTTTAAATTGTCACTGTTGCTCTGATATGTGACAAATCAAAGAAACCAATGATGAGTTTATTGTACGTGGCAAAAGTAATATGGGCAAGGAAATAGAAGCCAGTGGGCTTGGAATACATGGTAAGGGAGAGCTGGCACGATGGGCACAACGAAGGAAGTGTGAGGGAACAGGAAGAATCAGGGAAAACACGTTGTTGACATGCCCAGCTGATCATGCCGTGTTTTAAGAAGGCTGGAGCAGAGAATCAAGAGTTCTTTGGGCCATAATGAGTTTGAGATCCTAATTAGATTTCCTAGTGCAAGTACCCGCTGGGCAGTTGGATAGGCAATCGCAGATTTCAGATAAGAAGTGGGTAGTAGTGAGTGCTTATGACAGATAAGTGATCCATTGAACCGGGGAGAAAGGTGCCTGGCTGAATAAAGACGGGAAGGGGTCTGGTGATAGAGCAAGCAGCAGCAAAAGAGACAGAGAAAGTGGTGAGGTGTGAAGAAAACCAGAACTAAGAGGAGGAAGCAGTATTTGTGCTGTTCTTGGAAACAGCCTAACTTTGTAATGACCTCGGGCCAAAACCAACATCGTTCTCAAATGGCCTATATTACTTTCTTTAGACTTTATGAAGTGAACTTGAAGAACATACCCCACCCCTGCCAAAAAACTGAACAGCTTTCTAACTTCATTAGTAACAATTTGATGAACTTGGAAAGTCATCATTTCCCTCTCTCCTGGTAGGAGAACAAACAAGACGGACGGATCCTGAGAGGTTCACAAAGAGCCCGAAGGAAACGACGAGGTGACCCGGCTCTCTTAAAGCAGGGTGAGCCAACGGGAGGGAAATTGTTACTTATAGCGTCTATGAAATGGAAAATATTTCACCCAAGTAGAACTTGTAGTCTAATTGTACTTCAAACTAACAATTAAATTATTGCTTCGAGTTTTTCTTTGAATAAATCTGGCCAAAAAAAAAAAAATAGGATTTTGAAGAAGTGGGTAAAGAAACAGAGGAATTAGAAACTTCCAAATCATTTCAGTGTAAGCAGGAGTCAGTTTTTAAAACTTTCCATCAAATAGACATCTTCGGCTTCCTTACCATTACGAAAGGCTCTGCTCTTGGGCTCCGTTTCCTAGACTTTTTACATTTGTAAGGTTTCCCCTCAAACTAGATGGAGAATCTCGTCCTTAGGGCCTTCCATGTTGTTTCGTACTTGACTGGATAAACTCGGTGCTATTTCAGCATGGACCTTAGGCCACTTCCCCAGTGTTGTTCTGTGGCATCATCCTCTTGAAGTGCTGCTCCTGCTAATCATGCCACCATTTATGGTCATTCTGTGCTCAGCTTGGCTCATAATCTGCACAGTCATCCTGTGTCCACAAGTCAGCATCCTGAATCTGATGCTGCCCTTCAGTGCTTGGTACGAGTCTTCACGTGCTCATCTGTGCAGTAGTGTCTAGAACTGCCAAGACAAGGGACCACAAATCGAGTGGCTTACACAAACAGAAACGTGTTGCCTTCCCGTTCTGAAAGCTAGGATTCCAGAATCAAGTTATTGACCACATGGATTCCTTCTGAGGGTACGTGCCTCTCTCTAACCTCTAGAAATGACTAATGATCCTTAGCGTACTTTTACGGTAGATCACTCCAGATCTTCACGTGGTCCTCTTCCATTTGTGTGTGTCTCTTCTCCTCTTTTATAAAGACATTAATCAGATCAGATTAGGACCCACCATATTTCTAAATGACTTCGTGTTATAACATGATGTTACAGCTTCAAGTGGTAACAGCCTCAAAGTCTACTTCCAAATAAAGTTTTGTTCCCGGATATGGGATTAAGATTTTAACGTCTTTTGAGAAGATGGAGAGGACATAATTCAATCCAAAACTATCTGCTAATTGCTCAAAAAGCAAAAAAAAACCAAACAGTCGGAAATTGTTTTATTCTGCCTCAAGTGCACACAACCTCACTATATCTTTTGGCAGATGACCTGTTTTAATTCTCTGGCATTTTTGTTCTTTAGGGCCATCTGGTCGCCTCTGACCCATATTGACCCTAAGCACAACAAAACTAAACACTGCACGGTCATGCATCATCCTCAGAAGTGTTCCTGTGCCTGAGCCTATTGACGCAGCCACTGTGTTAATCCATGTCATAGAGGACCTTCCTCTTTTTCACCACCCTCCACTTAGCATCATGTTCTTCCCCAAGGGCCAATCTCCTGAGAATGTGTCCAAATCATATAAGATGAAGTCTTGCCACCCTTTCCTCCAAGGAGCACTCTGGCCTTACTTCTTCCAATGTAGGTTGGTTTGCCCTTTAGCAGTACATGATGCTTTCCATATTCTTCTCCAGAACCACAATTCAAATGCGTTGATTCTTCTGTGGTCTTCCATATTCAGTGTCCAACTTTCACATACATAAGATGCAGTGGAGAATACCTTACTGTATCTACTCGAGAATAAGCTGACCCGACTCAGATGAGGCACCGAATTTTACCATAAAAACTGCATTTAAAATGTGCTGGAAAACTCGGCTTATACACGAGTATGTATAGTATCTTGGGTCAGGCACTCCTTAGTCCTCAGAGTAACGTCTTTGCTCTTCAATATTTCAAAGAAGTCTTATCAGCAGATTTACCTAATCTTTTGGCCTCTTGACTGTTGCTTCCATAGGCATTGATTATGTATCCAAGTAAGACAAAATCCTGGCCAACCTCACACTATTCTCCATTTATCATGATGTTACCTATATGTCCTGTTGTTAGGATTTTGGTGTTTTTTACATTGAGTTGGACTCCATACTGAAGGCTACGGTACTTGATCTTCATCAGCAGGTGCTTCACTTCCTCCTCACTTTCAGCAAGTAAGGTTGTTTCATCTGTATGCCACAGGTTGTTAATAAGCCTTCCTCCAATCCTGATGCCACACTCGTCTTCATAAAATCCAGCTTCTTTGATGATTTGCTCAGCAAGTCTCTGGCATCAAAGACAATAAATTCTTCAGTGGTCTTTTATTTCTCTTGAAACCTCCTTGTATTTCTGCTTTGCTTCAGATGAATCTCTAGGACTCTTGCTCTTCTGAAGCCTTGTTCTCTCAATCATCCTGTTTGAAATTATTTCTTTAGGTATTCAGCTTTTTTTTTTAAGCCTCTTTGTGAATGCTGTTATGGTCCACTAAATCTCATTCTCAAAATGCCATCTTCTAACACTGTTACCCTTCCAACTTTCTTCTCTTTCCTTCATTCTGATCACTTGTCAAATTAATCCAGTACCATTGGCTTTCACTGCCCCATAGCTAGATCACTGATGTGCTCTGTACCCTGAAATGTTACTCTCTGTATCGATTGTTTCTCCCTCTTCACCTTGAACAGTCATTTCCCACACTGACCTTGTCTCCATCTTTATTCTCTTGATCTCTCTGGAGGGGAAGAAATTTTGAGCATCCTGTTTCTAGAAGCTTTTATTTCTGTGTGCTTCCATAACACTGTGCTGTTGTGGTTTTCTGTGTGTTTTTGTTTTTTGTTTTTTCATTTACTCCGTGGGTTCTTTGACCTCTTTCTTCTACTCTCATCACTTTGGATTACAGTTCAGTTCATGTCTCAGCTCTCTTTTTATTAAATTGGAACCAGGAAAAGAGACGGAAATCCCAGTGACCAGGGATGCAAGCACTCCTACACACCACATCTTGGACGTGCTAGGTACTGAAATGATCTCTCTTATTTCACTTGTCCTCAGGTTTGCCTCCTAAGGGAAAGAAAGCCTGGTGCTGGGCATCCTACTTAGAGGAGGAGAAAGCTGTGGCCGTGCCTACAAAGCTGTTCAAGGAGGTATGGGGTCTCTCAGAAAGTATCGCTCGCTAGGAGAAAGGAACTGGAAAACAGTATTGTCATTTCCATCGTCTTCTTGGGAAATAGGACTCATGATAATTTGTCAGACACACTGTTTATGTGCATATTTATATGGAAAGAGCCCTGTTGGCAAAAACAGTTTGCATTTGCTAAGGAATTTAAATCCTGGTGGTTCAACCACACACACAGGTGCTATGGAAGAAAGTGCTGGAGATCTGCTGCCATAAAGGCAGCTGAGAGAAACCAAATGGAGCAATTCTACTTTAGAACACCAGGGGTTTCCAGGAGTTGGGAAAGCAACGGGTCTGGTTCTTTTGGGTTCCTGTAGGTAGAGAGGCACTGCCAAAGGGCTACCTTCCCCAGCTCCTCACTGCCACATACTTGAGCTTTCCTCTCAACATTTACTGGGATTTCACGCATTAATTTTAACAGACTTACTGCTACTAACAGGAAACCTGGTAGAAGAGTGGGCTGTTCATTGAGGTGCTAACGGCAAAGTCAGTAGTTTGAACCCACCAGCCACTCCATGTGAGGAAGATGAAGCTGTCTGCATCCATAAAAATGTATCATCTCTGAGACCCTCTTGGGTGTTGTTATGAGTCAGCATTGATTCAGTGGCGGTGGGTGTGATTGTTTGGCTCGTGTCTACTGGTACACTGATGAATCTAGTAGACAAAGGGAAACTGGCACACAATCCTGAGTATTAAGGCTGAGGGAGAATAAAAGTGAGTTACTGAGATTTACTGACATCACAACAAAACATCTAAAATTGAATTTGTATATTTTATTATGATCAAATATTTTATCATAAGATTGAAAAGCCAGTTATAGACATCAACTGGAGTCCTGAAAAAGGGCTCCTTCCCCGGACTCAACACAGAGGCTGGCAAACCTGCTCCGGGAAAGTCCAACAGTACATGTTTGGGGGCTTTCGGGGCATGTGGCCTCTGGTGCAACAGTATAATTCTGTCGAGGCACTAGAGCTGCCAGAGCCGAGACTGAGTGGATGTGTAGTGCTTTGTTTCTGGAAAGCCTCCTTGGCAAAAACAGGCAGTGGGCCAGATTGGGCTGCAATTAAAATTATTAAAATAACATTTAATCATAGTATGTAATAAATGTGTCATGATAATATTGTTAGTTGCCATTGAATAGATTCTGACTCATGGTGACCTGAGTTGTTCCAGAGTGAAAGTGTTTCCTCAGGTTTTCAAGTCTAATCTGAACAAAAGACGCTTGTCAGAGCTTTTTCTTTCAAGGGACCGCCCGCCGCATGGGTTTGAACCTTTAGGTTAACAGTTGAGTGAAAACCATTTGTTCGGCCCTAAATCTGCCCAAGTTTACCCTCTGATGTGTTTTGAGCACACAGTTTTGAAAAGTATAGAATAGGAAATAGTAGATGATTACATCTGTATTAAAAAAATACTTAAATATAATAAATAATGCTACATGAATTTGTTGTATATTATCATTTTCCTGAATTTAGGTCATTTACAGGATTGACTTTTTGCCTTGAAGAAAAACAAACAAAACAGTTTATGTGAAGCTCTAGTTACTTGAATCAATGAAGCATTCTTATGACTCAGAATGTAAATGCTACTAGAGGCATATGAAGGGTCACATCCCTAGGCATCAGGGTTGCCTCTCTGATGCGGCCCCCACTCCAATTCCATACCCATTTTCCTGTGAAATCAAATGTACATGTGAGCAATGTATATACACAAATCTTCCTTATGCCAGATAGTAGCACATGCTACATAAAACACATCCTATTTTGACTTTGCTTTTTTGTTAAGCATGACAGTTTAGAAATTATTTTATTTCCATTCATTAATGCTTTCTTTGTTCTTTTACGCTAGTACATAGAGTTCTATCTTGAGTCTGTTTCATTGTAATTTAAGCATTCCCTATTTATTAACATACATTTCCTCACCCCAATTATTCACTACAGATAACTATTTCACTGAGTAATCTTGTATATCTGTCATTTTAGATGTATGAGTATCTTTATTAGATAGTTTCCTAGAATCAGAATTGCTACATCAAAAAGAATGTTCATTTTTTAAAGATAGATGTAATCATATCACTAGTGTTTATACCAATCTATGCCTTATTAGTGTTCTGTGTGCACGTCTGTTACCCTATAGCCTTGCCAACACAATGTGTTAAGCAGCTTTCTGATCTTTACCAACTCCGTAGGTGAAATATGCCTTAATGTAGTTTTACTTTGTACATCTCTTACTGGTGAGGTTGGATATCTTTTGAAGTATGCAGAATCCATGTAAATTTTCTTTTCTGTTATCTGCGGCCCTTGTTTGTTTTCCCATGGTGTCATTCACTGATGCTCATCTTGTGAATTTTTAGCAGCTTTGGGTTTATTGGATTAGGCTGAAGAAGTAATATACTAAAACTGCCATTACTTTGCTTTTAGCATCAGTCTTTTCCATATAACAAGAATGGGTTCAAAGTCGGCATGAAACTAGAAGGCGTGGACCCCGAGCATCAGTCCGTGTACTGTGTCCTCACTGTGGCTGAGGTAAGCTTGGCCTTGATAAAGTTGTTTCCTTTTGTTTTTTAAATAAAATGCCGAGTTTAAGGTTGGAATAATGAGAAGAGCATGGAATTTAGTAGTTTGTATGCTTTATATAATTGAATCTTCACAAAGTCCAATGCAGATCATGTTCTATTACCTCTCTTTTTTAGATAAAGGTACTGAGGCTCAGACTCATGAAGCTCCAGAAGTAGAACCAGGATTTGAAGCCAAGCTCATGTCCCTTCCATAGGTTTAGCCAGATTGTGTTCCTTAGATTTAGACTCTTTCAGTATTTGGAAGTGACTATGAAAATGAAAATTTTCAGGAGAAAATGTCCAAGTAAATATATCAATAATGAGTGCTTCTTAGAATTCATTTTTTTCCTCCTGTCCTAGCTTTCTACCTGAGAGGTCTTTCCTTCCTTCTTATCTCTCTTCCTTTTTTGTTTTTTCTCTTCTGTTGTTCCAACATTCGGAAAATGTTGGAATTCTTCAAAAGCCATTAGAGAGTAGGGTATGAGAATATGTGAAGGTTCAGAGCGAGCAGGTAACAGGTAAACCGAATGGGGAAAGATGTGATCTGGAATACACGAAGAGTCTCAAGCTTTAGTCAGAGGCAGGACTTCTTCAAGTATAACAGGAGGGACAAGGGAAACGGTGTTTGGAGGCAGGCATTTGGGGGCAACCTCTTTTGAAATAGAGGCCAATAATTGGCTGAGAGAGAGGAAGGACATCCTAGGTTTGGAAGCCATGGAAGAGGAAGAGGGTTTGAAAGGCGTGAAAGAACAGTAGAGGACACAGTGCTGCTGTAACAGAAGTCCCCAAATCGGGTGACATTAACAGTTACATATATTTGCTGAGTTTAAGAGGCTAGAAGTCTAAATGCAGTTACTCTCTCCAGAGGACTTTCTTTCTCTGTCTGCTTTGGAAGAAGGTTCTGGTTTCTGCTGAGCTTCTGCTTCAAGGTGACGAGCATGAGGCTTCCCTCTTTCATGATAGATCTCTCTTGAGACCCCTTCTTTTGTGTTTTATAGAATGACTCGAGGTAGATCCTGCCCTGATCTTGCCTCATTAACGTACGAGGATGGCCCAGGCAAGCAAATTAGGGTTCACGTCACATAATTTTAGTGGGAAAACAGTGTGATCTATAGCTTTCTAGCATTTGATTGCCGCCTAATTCAAGACTTTGCCATGAGCAACATATATTCACGCCATCACATCATCTCAAAAGTCTTAAATCAACCTGAGTACAAAAATCTCATTTTCTGTATCATCTAAATCAAATATGGATGAGACCTTAGATTTATGTGCCTTATGGTAAAAGTATGCTTTGTTTATAAACTATAGATTACAAGGTACCCATTCCCAAAGTACAATGGTAGAACAAGCACAATGTAGACATTTCCATTGCAAGTGGGGAGAAAATGGAGGGAAAGAAGAGATGGTGGACCCTAAGCAAATAAAAAACTCAGCATAACAAATTACATTCGTTTTAAAGGCTTGAGAATAATTTCAGAGGGCATTGGCCAGCCTCCACACTCTGGGTGGTGGCCCCGAGATCTGGAATTTGGACAGAGGCCCCTCACCCCTGGGCTTCAGCTTGCCTTCTCAGACCTGTGGGATGGCAACTCTGCTCCTTCATCTTCACACAGACCCATTTCCCCGCCACCTCAGGACTATCAGGCCCTGTTCTTCTGCTCCTTGGGTATTATAACCCACCCCCTCAGTTCTGCTCAGCAACCGGATCCCAAGGGCACAGTATAATAGTCCCACACTCTGGACTCGAGTGGCAAAGATCTGACTCTTTGAAACCTAGGAGGTGGTGGTCCCACTGTTTGTGTCTGAGAAGGGCCTCCCTCCCGTGTTCCTTCCAGTAGTTCTACTGATCTCTAAGCTTGATCCAGGCATGGTCCTTTTCTTCTCCTGGAGGACAACAGGTAGCTCCTCTATCTGCCAACGTCACTTTAACCAGTTAGATCAGCTGGATCATAAGGCCGAAGTGGCAGGGTGCTCACCCAGCAGCAAAAACCTGTTGCAGAGCCTTTTGTGCTTCTGCGCCCCTCTCAAAAGCAGCAGCTTTCCAAGTCACTTGATGAATGGGCCAGAATAGCACACCTAAATGCAGAGTATTTGTCTCCAAATTCTGGAGAGGCCATCTAGGTCCGGTGCCTTTATTTTAGTTGTGGGCGGTACCAGATCCAACAATTTATCCTTCACTTTAGAAAAATTATTTTGACAAAATGTTTTGAGAATGATGATGGCAACAAATGTACAAATGTGCTTAACACGATGGATGGGTGGATTGTGACAAAGAGTTGTATGAGCCCCCAATGAAATGATTGAATTTTTTTTTTAATCAGAAAGATCATCTTGACATGCCTCACACCAATGTTTAACTAGAAACTTCACTGTAGTATATGGTGCCTGAATTTTGGTTGGATTAATTTCTTACCCTATAGCATACAATAAGTATAGAGTTTTACCAATAAGTATAGAGTTACTGATACGGCTTCCGTACTAAGCCCTATCATCATCGTTTTGTAAGCATACTGATCCAGTGCAATGCCTTGTAGAAGGGAGAGGTAATCAAGGTCCCTATGGACTATACCTCTGAAGTAGGACAGTGTAGGTATATTATTGACCTTGCTAGTGGAAGGCAAACTGCTTCTTATGATTCTTCTAAGCTGGGATTTCAAAAAAGACATTGCCCATATCAATAGCTTTGTAACAGGAACAAGCGGAAGTACTAACTTGCTCAAGTAATGAAACCCTATCTATAGCAGCAGCTACAATTGGAATCCTCACCTGGTTAAGTTTATGATAGCCCACTATCGTTCTGTAAGACCCATCTGGGTTTTTTTTGCACAGGCCAGATAGGCAAGTTAAATGAGGGCATGATGGGAATCTCCAGCCTTGCATCCTCCAAATCCTTAATGATGGCGTAAATTTCTGCTGTCCCTCCAGGACTGCAGTAATGTAAGCTTTGGGTTTATTCATTTCTTAGATCGAGGCATTTCATGACTTCCACTTGGGTTCTCCTCCTGTAATATCCCTTACTTCACATGTCAGGGATCTAATGTGGGTTTTCTTCAGGTTGGTTGAATAATGTATATTTTGATTTTACATTCTTGAGCCTGGGAAATCACTAGAGGATGGGTTGTGAGACCCAGTGGACCCACTTTGATGATCTAAGAGTCCTTTAGTAACTTTTCAGATTGCTCACCACCATCAGCAATGACGTGTTTTGGGTCCTTGGAATTAATGTCTGTTTAGAACCAGTGTCCAGTAGCCCCCCAAAAGGCTGATTATTTCCTTTTTCTTTTAGAGTGAACATTTGCTTTTGTAAAAGGTCACACATCTGGGGAACACTAAAAGAAAAAAATAACATTGTAAATTTTGAGCCCTTTGGTGGTGCCCTGTCTCAAGGGGACCCAGCCCCTCTCCTTCATTCAGTGGATTGTGGCGAGACTGTGCCTCTTTTCCAGCATTCCAAATTAGAGTGGCATTCACTTGAAATAGAATTCTTCCTCTTGAACAGATAAAGTAAACATTTAGTAGCTTTCCCTAGTCATTTCACTTGTAGGAATACCATGACTAAGTAGCCAGAGCCATAAGTCCAGGCAAGTTGCTCTGTTTTGATTACTGCTTTGTCTCTGTTGTCTTTTATAGTAACCACACCTACATTTGTCTTGGGTGACCAAGTTTGGCACTTGGTCTCTGCATTATAGAGTCCCATTCAACCCCATTATAGCTAAATGGCTTAATTCAGTTAGGGCAGTTCTCATTGTCAAATCATAATTAAAACAAAAAATATAGTGATGAAAACCATTTTTACAGATGCTGCGGCTTCCTTAGGAGTGGTTACTTGGGGGGCTGTACTCCACTGCAGTTTGAAACCACCAGCTGTTCCTGGGGAGAAAGACGGGCTTTTGACTCCAGTAAAAGAGTTACAGTCCTGGAGACACAGGGGTAGCCCTTCCTGTCCTGTAGGGGCTCTGTGAATTGGTATTGACTCACTGGCAGTGAGATTTATGTTTTGTTTTGTTGTGACTTTTTAGTTTGGGGTTCCCTTCACAAATTTATACCTCCCCATTTTGGTATTCCTAAAATCATTATTTGTAAACCTTTGGATACCTTCTTGTAATGGTGTACCAAGTGAAGCCTGACATTTTATCTTGACTTAGTATAGGCCACTATTTAATCCATGGCTTACAAAACCATCCAAATAAGCTATCTGATCTTTTTTTAATCTCTTGAGCTGAAACATTGAGGAAAGACTCTGCCCTTAGTGAACCCATATCATAAACTCATTGTGATCCAACGGTGTGCTCCTTCTACCATTATACCCCTCCCTTCATAGAGTCATCCTAACATATATACCCCTGATTTCTGTTTGTATATGTTTTTAAAATCAAGCAGTTCTTTTGGAAAGTAGCCAAAAGAACACATCTGCTCTGTTGGTATTGACGCTCATGGAAGGAAGATTTAGAGGCTCAACCTTCTAAGAGATTGGGGAGACCTTTCCTTATTTCTTCCCCCGCCCCTCCCCCTTTCTTTCTTTTTCCCAGCCCAGCTATTTGTAGAGAGGAGGGGATATGTTGCTGGCCTCTCCCCATGTCTGCGCCAGCCCCAGTCTGGACGAATAGACTGGCAGGTGCTGAGTTTATTAAAGGACAAAGAGCTGGCATTCAGACAGTAGCCAGCAGAGCATCCACTTGCGAACCTTGCTGTCTGTAGTGTGCTGGTCTGGCTGCTTCTCTGATGGCTCGCCTCCAGGTGACATGAGCGGATTCAATAAAGGGAATGGATAGAGGGCATGTCTCTGGGAAAACCATTCTTCACCCAGTATCTCTGTGTTCCTAATGTAGCGGAGGGTGTTGACAGGGTACTGTAGCTCTGTTCTTCTCAGTATAATAGCATTTGCTTTTAGATTTTGTGGTTTGGTGGTTCCCTTTATTATTGTTAGGTGGTTTGATTAACATAGGGTGTAACATACCTGATATTATATGTGGGTTTTTTAAAATCATTTATTGGGGGCTCTTAGAGCTCTTTATAGCAGTCCATATATCCATTGTGTCAAGCACATGTATACATATGTTGCCATCATCCTTTTGAAAATGTTTTCTTTCTACTTGAGCCCTTGACATCAGCTCCTCATTTCCTCCCACCATCATGAACCCTTGATAAATTATAAATTATTATTATTTTCATATTTTTATTTGCATGAAAATTCTGACTTGTTTTGCTTAACTTACCACCCTACTTTACTGGTTACAGGTCTGTGGATACCGGGTAAAGCTCCACTTTGATGGGTATTCTGATTGCTATGACTTCTGGGTAAATGCAGACGCCCTCGATATTCACCCAGTTGGGTGGTGTGAGAAAACTGGCCATAAACTTCATCCACCAAAAGGTGTTGTTATTTTCCTTTGTTTTATAGTTAGGAAGTTAATTAAGTTTATTACGCTCACTAAAGGCTTACTTACTTCCATGCTCAGTTCAAACTCGACGGTGTAGCCCACAGTGGCTACATGGTGGGCTGTGATCTGCAAGGTGGGCAGTTGGACCCAGCAGCTCCGCAGGAGAGAAATAGGGCTTTCTGTTCCCATAACGAGTTAGTCTCAGAGCCTCACAGGGACTGTTTCACCTGTCCGAACACGTCGACCTGATATGGCAGTGAATTTGGTTAATAAGTCAGATGGACTCAAATTCAAGCTTATTGTTACATAGAAACAAAAGTTTAAGGGAAAGAAATTTTCAAAAAACTTTATATATGAGAATAAACTTTTTATATATTTATGTACAGAACAACGTTTAGTTGCTAATTACTTTTTATTATACATAGCACTTGATTAAAACCAAAAAACCAAACTCACTGCCATTGGGGTGATCCCAACTCACAGCGACCCAGTAGGACAGAGTAGAGCTACCCCTGTGGTTTCTGAGACGAGAACTCTTTGTGGGGGATGTCATCTTTTTCCTGCAGTGATGACGGGTGATTTTGAGCTGCTGACCTTTCTCCTTCCAGCCCCACTGCTGAACCCACCAGATCACCAGGGCTCCAGCATTTGACTGGAGATTTTTTTTTTTAGATCTTACATATTTAGCCTTAAACAAACAGATTTTTGTAAAAAAATCATTGCTTTTAGTTTACACAGTTTATTTACTGTTATTTAAGTATATGGAAAATCGTGATTAAAAAAAAAGAAAATTATGATAAGTTATACATGTAACTTACTGTCCTTAATGTTTAGGAGCTTGGAAAGGAGAGTATAATACTAAAAATATATTCAGGTTGAGATTGAAGAATTACATTTTCTTTTTTATGTATATACATCTATTAGGAACATTTGCTTTATTTTATGTAACAGTCTTATTTTTAGGTAGGTGTGATGTTCAGAACACAATGTTTATGAAATGGGAAATTGTGACAAATATTAATAATTGGGAGTTAATACATACATCATATAATTCCACTGTTCAATCAAAATGACTACTTTTTCTTATGATCCATTTTATCATATAGTTTGCCAATGATTTTTCCTGTTTCATGTTTATATAATGGTTCAAACTACAGATTTACTGAATTACAGATCCTATCTCTTTCAGTCCATCACTAATATTTTAATACTATCTTAATTATTCAATTTTAACTAGAATATATAGAATTATTTTCTTGATGTAAAAAAATTAGTTTACTAGTTTGGATCTTAAATGTGAATGAATAAAAACATTATGTTGAAGCCATTATAATTGAAGTGCTTATCTCTTAGGAACTAATGTCAAGTTGATTTCAACATGACTCTTAGTTTTAGGTTTTGTTGTGTCGTTTTAATGGTGTAGCTATCCTTGGGTCCATATGTGAAAAACTCATGTCAGAGTAGTGTATGCAGAGGGCCGAAGGATTCAACAAAACACAAGGAGAAGCGAGGGTGACAAAGGAAAGTTGTGAGTCTTAATATAAATCTTAACTCTCATATGATGAATTATGACTGTTCTTAGAAGGTGACTAAATTCTTTTTATTAAGAAATATTGGTCTTAATGAAATTCTGAAAATTAAGGCAAGAGTGTTCTTCTATTGTAAATCGCTAATGTGCTTACTTCACAATCCTTGCTTAGCTGTTTTCTCAGTGGAAAGCAAAGATTTTATTTTCCTTGCTTCTTTTTTTTTAATATTTCCTATACAAGATATCCTCTCAAAATAGAACACATAGTGGGAAAATATAGAATTTGACTCCTCTAGTTTATCAGTTTACTTCTGAGAAATTCCACTTAAATACTGATAAAAACACCTTGAAACAAAAACAAGGCAAACTATAGTACGTATTTGCTTCTTTTCTCCCTATTTATTATTTTTCATTCAAAATTGAAAAAGCAATTTCTTAAAAATAAGTACAGCTTGCATATAACACTATGTAATCAAACCTAAATAATAAGTTTGATTATGTAAATTTTTTAAACACTCGGGGCCTTTATTTGGGGATGGAGATGTAGGAGTTACAGATAACACGTGGAAGTAAAAAGTGCTTTGCTATTTCGCTAAGTCTGTCTCTGTGTACCTGCTCTAGGATACAAAGAAGATGAATTTAATTGGCAAACCTATCTGAAGACATGCAAAGCTCAAGCTGCTCCCAAGGCATTATTTGAAAATCAGAACATAGTAAGTGCATGCAAAAGACCCTTTCAAAAGAGGTAACTTCCAAGTGCGTTATAGGATAAGTTACAAGCAAAGCAAGGAGCTTAATTCCATGTATGGCTTTGGTAAGTCGCATAGTCTTACCTTAATTACACTCGGAAATTGATAGGAAACCTGCGTGAATACCTATTTTTTCTCTAACCATATCATGGTTATATTTTTCATTGGATGGTGGGAGGTAGCACAATAGAAAACCAGGTCTAATTTACAATGAGGTGCATAAAAATTAAATTTTCTGGGATGTCTTAGGGTTATTGTCCTTTATTGAATGGCGCTTTTCAAATGTGATTCACACTGTGAAATGAATGTAGACCTGTTTAGATTTATGCCTAGGATGTAGCTGGAGACCTTTAGTTTATAGCCTTATATTGCAATATAATAGAAGGAAAGTCTGCATATGTGTATATTTCCTTTCCTTGGGCTGTTTTCCTTCTTTTCGTTGCATATTTTTATTTCAGCATCTCTGAAAGGACCCAGTAAGTTACACTTCTCCTCAAGATCTGCTTTAACTGGAAAGAAAATAAAACAGATGGAAAACCAAAATACCTGTTTAACTCATAAGGGTTAGGTTAGAAGACGCAGCCTGTATCTACAGAGAAATGAGTTGCTCGGTTCTGAGCCCAAGAGTCTAAGAAATGAACTGCCTCTTTCCCGCCATGGTCTCCACAGTAAGACCTGGAAACTTGTAGACCATGGTGGACGTGCCCTCCTGAAGGAACCAGACTTGCCCTTCAGGGAGCAGAGTGGACATCACATACCTGCCATACCACCTTGCCTCGAGACTATGACCACTTCCTCCTACCACACTTATCAGTCAAGTAACAGTGAGGGGGAGGGTGGAAGGGGACCACTCTTGGCTCACTAACGTGGTTCCCTTCAAAGGGAATCCCCATCTCTCACACTCTTCACAGGAGGAACAATGTTAACAGTTGCTGTGAGGATATCAGTCCAGTAGTCCAAACATCTGATCAAACTGACCCCAAACCACGTTGAATTAGGTTACTGAAGACATGTGTGATCTTGTGCACTTTGATTTTAGGAACAAATGGAGATAATGTGCCAGGTTATTCCTTTTAAATGTTTTAATTGAGAAGATAACTTAATTTCTGAAATACATATACTGAGTTGCCAGTCAGTCTTCTCTGCCGATTTCACCCCAGGTGGGAAGGTCACTTAGATGGAGACACAGCAGTCTCCTGTTGCTGCCCCAAGTCTCCTAAAAGTTGTCTGATCATGAGTTCTGTCTGGATTTGAAGACTCGTCTTGAGATGCCTTCTTAAAGTCTGTGTGTTGGGAGCACGCACGTTAATTGTGGGCTGTGAGTTTGATATCTAAGAGGCAGTTAATTTTCCTCTTTCTAGATACTTCCACTTCGAAATCCCATGGCACAGTTCCACTCAGTCTTACAGGGCCGCTGTGAGTTGGAATTAACATAACAGCATTAGGTTTGGTTTTGTCTACTGCTAAGTATACAGATACAGTTAGAAGCCTGAAAAATATTTGTAAGATTTATACATACAGATTTTTGTCTCTGCTTCTTCTGTGAGGGCTAAGGTAACGTTTCCAGATACGTATGCTTATCTCAAATTATGCAATTGTAACTATAATACAGTTAACAAACATAACATCTGTTTGTTTGAGATAGAATAGTGTCTGTACACTTTAATCTGAACAGAAGTTTTTGGTGTTTTTTTTTTCAAATAAGGGTAGACATGGATGATAAATTATGATTAGCAAAATCAAAATCTTAAGTTACTGAGATTAGAATTTTTTTCCACGAAACATAGAGGAAAATTTTAAATTTATTACACCTCATAGACTTGCTGAACTTTTGTTGTTTTAGTTCCAAGTCCCAGATGACTGAGAATTGGGGGGTTTCTTGATCTGTACGGGTGGTTTGAAGAGCTCTGGTGGCACAGTGGGTTAAGTAAAGGGTTGCTAACGGCAAGATCACTGGTTTGAAACCTCCAGCCAGGAGAAAGATAAGGCTTTCTACTTCTGGGCATCAGATTTGACTTCATGGCAGTGAGTCTGAGGTTTGTTCTTTTTAAGTATAGGTTATTTTAGTTGATTTTATATATATATGTGTGTATATATATATATATTCCTAGCCAGTTTTTTGTTTGCTTGTTTTGTTGCTGTGGTGAGGCAGAAGTATACAAAACAAAACACTCACTCACTACCTGTGAGTTAATTCTGACTCACAGCACTCTTATACGGAGTAGAACCACCTCCTTGGGTTTCCATGATTTTAAATCTTTATGGAAGTAGACATACTTCCCACGTTTTTCTTCCACAAAACAGCAGACAGGTTTGAACCCAGCCCACTACACACCAGGGCTCAAAAGAAGTAGAGGTAGTCTTAAGGGAGAGTTGAATTCAAAGAAGTAGCAGCCTTTCATCTATGAAAATGACCTACTTTCCTTGGAGCTCTCTTTTAAGAGGTCTTTTCAGAAGTGGACATTAAATTGTACTACTGGCTCATGCACATTTTCAAAGTGAATAAGTGCCTATCTTGTGCGGAATAATTTGTGGTTGATCTATGGTTAAGGAAATGCAGGAGAAAAAGTGAACTTCATGGTGAATAAAACTTGCCTAACTAGAATTATTTTCCTTCTATGCTATCAAAGCACAAGCTAACATTAATTATTTTAAACTCTGTGAGGTTGTACATGCTTTAGTTGGGAGCTTAGAGAGTTAAATGGGTATAGCAATAGGACATTACAAATTTTTTCACTGTTAGCTTGTTGGAAAGCAACCATGCTGTGAAATTGGCACATGGTCTCTAAATTATCTGCACACCGTGATTGATGTGGGCCTTTGGGCAGGAGGTGCGGAGAGGGTGGAGAGCTTGCTGTTAGAGGGTGTGCTGACCTCTAGTTAAATCTGTGTGTTTATATAGACAGTGATCCCTTCAGGCTTCCGAGTCGGAATGAAGCTTGAAGCTGTAGACAAAAAGAACCCTGCATTCATCTGTGTTGCTACGGTAACAGATATGGTGGACAATCGCTTCCTGGTGCATTTTGACAACTGGGATGAGAGCTATGACTACTGGTAAGACGTTTTCTGTTGGTTTATACTTTTTAGATTTAATGTTTATACAATGTTTAATGTTTAGATGTAATGTGTATGTGAAAACAGTTACCACCTTTTTCTAGTCCAGACATTTAAATTTTTACCTATTCCATACAGCATATGCTTCTTTCTTTGTTTCTCTCTCTAAAGGAGGGGTAAAAATACCACAAATTAAACGTAATTCTATGTGTACATTTAGGTGACATGGATTATTATCCTTAAACAGCATAACCATTCACACTGTCCTTTTCCGAATCATTCCGAATCAATCATTCCGAATCAATCACTATGAAGATAAACTCACTGCCCCCTAAGAGTCTCTTGTAGCCTTCAGGTTGTTGTTAAGTTGATCACATGTAGATAATTACTTCAAGAGCACAGCATTCAAGGCAGACATTCGTTACCTAAATAAAGTATTTCTTGGCTCCTGCTACTGGTCTGTCAGTTTGTTTATAGCATGGCGTCTTGCTTGTTCTTCTGAGGCTTGAAAATAGGTCAGCAGTATTACAAGGATTTAGGAGAACTTCCAACTCAGACAAACTAGCAACTAAGGCCTGGCTGTCTTACTTAACATATATGACAACTATTCATGTAGTTTACTGCATGCAATCAACAGTATTCAAATTTGTACATGCTTGAGAAGTTCAATATCACCCATCAGAAAAAGGTTAGGAGCTGGTAGCCATCAATTGTTCATAATCAGGCTCAAGTCCAGAAGAGCTGAAATACTACTTTGAATGTATATCCTACGATTTTAAAGAATTGCAAGAATGGATTTGATGCATTGAAATGGAGCACTAATAACCAAAGACTATGAAAGGTGTTGGGGGTAGTATCAAGGACATCATATATGAAGAAAGCCACGAGGTCATGAAAAAAACAGGAATGGAAGAAAAGACCATATTTAATATCAGAAGATACTTTGAAGCTTCCCTTTGAATGCAGAGCAGCTAAAGTGAATGAAAGAAATGAAGAAAGTATGTTCAACAATTTTCAGAGGGGGAGTGTGGCAATTACATACCGTATATACTCGTGTATATGCCAAGTTTTTCAGCACATTTTTATGCAGTTTTTGTGGTAAAATTAGGTGCCTTGGCTGATATTGGGGTCGACTTATACTCGAGTGTACATGGTAATCTCTTCACTTGAGGAAAGGATGGAGTCTGGCCTGTCAATCAGGTCACAGCTTGATGACCTTATTTGGAGGTGTGATGGAGATAAATAGCTCACTGGAGATGGGATACTCTCGATCTCTGCTTCAGCATACCTGTTGATAAGACACATGTAGCTACACTGATGGAAGGAGAGCCTTGGAGCTGGAGGATCCAGGTGGAGACCCAAGCCAGTGCTAAGATGCTTCCACCACCACTGGATCCACAAGACTGGACAGCGATCTTCCTGTACTCAGCGTCCTTGCATGTGTTGTGTGAGTCTGAAGAGGAATTTACAGACTGACATCAGACATGGGCTAATATCAGACGTATGGACTTGATCTGGACTGGGCTGGGATGGTTTCTTAATATACAATTGTTATTTTATATACAACTCATACACATATGAGTGTCTATGACTTGTTTTTCTAGTCCACCCTGACTAACACAAGGGCTTAAGAAGTATATAGTAAATTGTGAAAGGACCTGGAGTTAAACAACCAAAAAAGAAAGACATGCTTAGCATTTCTCAAGCTGAAAGAACTGAAGAAAATAGTCAAGTCTGGAGTTTCAATATTGAAGGATTCTGTGGGCAAAATATTGAATGATACAGGGAACATCACAATATGGTGGAAAGAGTACAGACACTGTACCAAAAAGACTTGATCAGAGACTAACTGTAATAGAAGTAGCATATGATCAAGAATTGATGGAACTGAAGGAAGAAGTACAAACTGCAATGAAGATATTGGTGGAAAACAAGGCTCCAAAAATTAGCAAAATGCCAATTGAGATATTTCAACAAATGGATACAACCTCATGAATGTCTTTGCCAAGAAATTTGGAAAATAGCTAACTGGACAACAAATTGGAAAACTTTATTTTTGCCCATTCCAAAGAAAGATGATTCAGTGGAATGGGAAAATTGCCAAACAATATCATTATTATTACATTTTGAATTATCTGCAGCAATGACATCATTCAGCAGTACATCTATGGCTAGTCGCCATAAATCACAACAGACTCAGAAGAGGATGTGGAACTAAGGGTATCGTTACTGACTTTCAGATGGAACATTCTCGAAAGCAGAACACCAGAAAAATGCTTCCCTGTGTTTTGTTGTCTTTGCAAACCCATTCATCATGTGAGTCATAATAAACTATGAATATCATTGAAAAGAATGGGATTCTAATACACTTAATTGTGTTTTTACAAATCTATACATAGATGGGATCATCTATATATAGACGGTTATACATCAACCATCAATGTTTAAAGATGCCTTCAGGGTGTAGTGTTTCATTAAAGTTTTAAAGATTACATCATAGTAGTGGTTCCATGGGTCATTCCGCCTCGGTGGCCCCAGAAAAACTGAATTTAATGAGGATTTGAAATTCCTGTATTTTCCTTCTTCTAGGATCCTTCTGTATAATATTTTATCAAAACTTTTAGCCTGGCACCATCCAATTCTTGTGTTCTCATAACAAAGGAAGCAGTTGCTTATGACGGCAGTTATAGACACAAATTACAGTTCCTCCTCTGATCCCTGACCCTACTTCCTCTGATGCTGCCAGCAAATAGAATCTGATCTTTGTACCTTGGGTGGCCATTTGCAAGCTTGTAATACACAAAAAGAACTAGGAGATAAGACAGAAACACAAAACAATATTAGATCGACATGGCATGTATCTCTTAAGTAGTATGTTTCATGTCAACTTGATGGTTTGTAATTAATTGACTTCTTATAGGTGTGAGATTTAATTCCTATACACCCTACATTCTTGAGATACATTCAAACACATACACTCGCACTTACACACTTATACTCACACTTGGGGCATCTTATATCATGTTCTAGGAAATTTTAAGTTCTCTGGAGGGAGCTCACATATTGCACTGCTAACCACAAGGTTCGGCAGCTCAAAATCATTACCCTCTATGGGCAAAAGATAAGGCTTACTACTACTATAAAGATTTACTGTCTCAGAAACCCACAGGGACAGTTCTACTCAGTCCTATAGGGTCTGTATGAGTTGGAATTGTCTCGATGGCCATTAGGTTGGTTTTTTTAGTGGGGGAGGGGGGTCCACATTATTATGCCTAGTAACCAATTTATTATTAATATATACAGATGAATATATCAAATGATAAATATTGTTTAGTCATTCCGGTTTCTGGATATACTACAAAAAGTTACAGGGTTATTGTTTATAAAGCTTTCCTCTAGTTCCTAAATGTTTCCTCCCCGCTCCCACTACCATGACTCGAATTCGATCTTGCAACTCTGGCTAGACCAGAGGAGGTACACTGGTACAGATAGGAACTGAAAATACAGGGAATCCAGGGCGGATGAGCCCTACAGGACCAGTGGTGTGAGCGGTGAAACAGGGAGGGTAAAGGGAGAATGGGTAGGAAAGAGGGAACCGATTACAAGGAACTGTGTGTGACCTCCTCCCTGGGGGACAGACAACCGAAAATTGGGTGAAGGGAGACATCGGACAGGGCAAGATATGACAAAATACCAATTTATAAACTATCAAGGGCTCATGAGGGAGGGGGGGTGGGGAGGGAGGGGAAAAATGAGGACCTAATGTCGGGTGTTTAAGTGGAGAGAAAATGTTTTGAGAATGATGTACAAATGCGCTTTACACAATTGATGTGTGTGTGGATTGCGATAACAGTTGTATGAGCCCCTAATAAAATGTTTTTTTTTTTTAAAAGCTATATATTTGTGAAATAATTATCCTAATTAAAGCCCTTCTGTGTGATTAAGCATTTGAAATAATGGTCTTTCTTATGTAATTCATGTTCAGTGATCACTATATTTAGGTTCCTGTTGAAAGGCAGGCACTTTAGAGAACACTGGTGTGAGGCAATATTGCAGAAAAGTACCAAAGATCTTTATAAAATGTGGCTAACATTATAGCATCAGGGGAACATAGTTCAAATAAATATTCTCAAGTTTCAGGGAAGCTTGTTTCTTGATCTTGATGTTTAGTGTGAATGTATTTGAATATTCAGTATACCCATCATAATTTTCTTAACTTCTCAAGTTTAATTCTCAGATATTCATGAATTTTACTTGTATTGCTTTAGGAAGGAGAGATATTGAAAGCCGTTTACTATCCAGGTATCTCAATGTTTCATATTATATATTGTACATGCTTTTACAGAATTTTACAAAAAATATTGACAAGTCTCAATATTATGTCTCACTGAGTCAAATACTTTTGAGCATTTTGTGTTTTTCTTCTGAGCTTCTTTCTGTGAAGCTATTTGTTTCATAGGATGTCTTCTTAAAAAAAAACCTAAAGAACATTTTGTGAAATAGGGAAGGTCTGCACTTCAGATCATCATTTTTGTATTCAACAATTTAGACAACTTATCAAACTTCCCAATAGCTTGCCCTGCTTCTTCACCTTCCCCCCCGTCTTTGCCCTCTTGAAGAATACTCTCTTCCCCTTCACCAAGTTAACACCTATAACTTCTAGCCTATTGCTTCCTATCTCTCTCTTCCCGTCCCACTCCTGGTAACCATCAGTGTCTTGTTTCTTGTGATATGAAAGATATTTATCCGTTTTTTTTTCTTTATAATAATGGTCTCATACAATATTTGTCCCTTTGCAATTGATTATCTTTACTTCATAAGGCGCCACAATTCCATTCCAAACTCTGGGGTGTTCAATTTATCCTTGTTCCACCGATGGGCATTGAGGTTGTTTCCGTCTTCTTATTGTGAATAGTGCTTTGATGAACATGGGTTTACATATATCTATTTGTGTTGACAGTTGTCACTTCTTCTACATATATGTGTCATGTGATAGGAGT